CCTATTTGCCCCCGCGCGCTCGGCCACCGACATCGGTGAGGCCGTGTTTCCTGCAGCGCGAGCTGCACGAGGTGGCCGATGCCCGCTGGCGGTGCGTTCAGTGCTTGCACGGTTTTCGGAGCTGGAAGGCTGGAATGGCCTCAGAGTGCGGGCGCGACGCGCCCAAGAGCTGGAGGAGCCTGCGTGAATGCGCGGACTCACATTTATTGTGTGGGGTGGTGATTGGCCCCAAGGGCTGCCCACCCGAGCAGGGTGACTTTATGCTGTACTGTGTCCAGTGCGTTCAGTATGCACAGCAGCATCCCGTCGGCCTGGCCAAGACGTGCCCTGCCAGACGGCCTGGACTTGTCCTAGACAAAATGGGCAAAGAACGAAAGAGCCGTTTTGATCGTGGCCCCCACCCCAGGACGGGAAGGAAGGAGGTAGTCCTCGAGAGCTGGGCTCTCCAGGATCTTGGTTTTCTCACTCACGGGAGTGAGCGCAGTGCCTAGTGCACCCCCGCAGCTGGCATGATCGGCGCCCCACGGAGGAACACAAAACTTCCTCCTCCTCCGTTCTCCCCCTCCCGTTTCCTCCTCGTCTCCTTTTCCTCTTCCCCCTTGGTCTCCTCCTTTCCCTTCCCCACTCTCCTTGTCCTCCCTCCCTTTCTCATCCCTTCTCGCTCCTCGCGCTCATCCCCCCGAAGTGTAAACAAGTAAGTGTCTTACGCAGCATGCGCGCATCGAACAAGTCTGCGCGCGGCCATGTGGGCCAGGCGCGACCTACAACGGCGAGTGGCTGGGCACCCAGAGGCAGCTCGATCTACAAGCGCATACATACACCGCCGCAAACACACACACACACATGTAGACACACATACAGCCACAAACACAAACACACACATGTACACAGACGCAGACATAGACGCAGGCGCAGACGCGGACGCGGACGCAGACGCAGACGCTGGGGCAGACATAGGCGCAGCGCAGAGCAGATGCTGACACAGACGCAGACGAAATCGACGCGGACGCGGACGCAGACGCGGACGCGGACGCGCACGCGGACGCGGACGCGGACGCGGACGCGGACGCGGACGCGGACGCGGAGAAGTCGTCCGCGCGCCGCCGCGCGCCGGCTCGCTGCGGAGGCATGGGAACGGCGAGCAGGTCTGGCCTGACGTCGCCAAGTACGACGGCCAGTGGGCGGACGACAAGGCGCGGGCGGGCCCGTTGGGCGTTCCCCCAGCGGGGCATCTTATGTTAAGGCCGCACGGGCATCGGTTGCCCAGGTTAGCTTTTCTCCGATGTCCCTTGGGCCTGGATTCCCTTCGGGGATCATCCGTTGAACTTGAAACGATACAGAGAAGATTAGCATGGCCCCTGCGCAAGGATGACACGCGCGAATCGAGAAGTGTAAACAATTGTCCGATGTCCCTTGGGCCCATGAGCATCGGCATCGACCTCAACTCGTTCGAGAGAGAGAGAGAGAGAGACGAAAAGAAGTGCCCGCAAGCCGTTTATAATAATCATAATAATTAATGAAATAATGCTAATGCTAATAAAATCAAGTGTTATAGATATTATAAATCTATATATATGTATAATATTGGGCGGCTGCCAAGGGCCCGTCATAAGGGCTCTCCTTGTTGCAGTTCCTTACGCTTGGCAGTTGTCTGTGTGAGTGTCCTGCTTGTTTTTCTGGTTTGGTCCGCCATCCAATGCACCCCCCATCCACTGCACCCCCTTTGCCGAACATCCATAAATGGACCATGGCGCTCCATCCTGCTTAGCACTTCCAGCACCCATTCAGCACCCCCTAAATTTCCTGGTGTTAAGAGTGCTAAATCAAACCCTCCGTATGGTGCATTTGCGGCTGGCCATCGCCAACTGCCCGAATTCAGCACCCTGCAATCCGGAATCTAAGTCAACCAAAGCTGACCCTTCGTATGGTGCATTTACAGATGGCGACTACCGCTTAGCAGCACCCTGCGATCCAGAATCTAAGTCAACCAGTGCCAAGCGTACAGAAGCCGACCCTTCGTATGGTCACTACCAAGCCTTCGCGTGGCCATTACCAACCTCTTACTCTAGCACGTTCTGTTGACAGTGTGCGCGAAACGTATCCCCCCCTGGCGGAGTGAGCAAAGAAACGCCCAAGTCCCCCTATTCTGTCATCGTAGCAGTGCTGGTGCGCGCGGCACGTACACGCGGCCGCTAGCAAGCATCCGATCTATGTATGTATGTATGTATGTATGTATGTATGTATGTATGTGTATATATAATATACACGTATATATGCGTATATGTACATATGCGCACATATATATATATATATATATATGTGTGATTGTTACTATTATTATTGTGTACCTACATACATATATACACAATAACTAGTATTAGTAGTGGTATCATTATATGATATGGTATAACCTGATGTGATATAATGTTATGTCATAGCAAATCTTAGTGTATTAAAGTATAGTAAAGGCTTTGGGCCGAGGGATGTTCGAGCATGTCGACGGCGACGTGTACGAGGACGATCATAAATTTATATGATATATTACACAGTAAAATCTACAATCGTATATCATGTTATGATATACTATAACAGACTATACTCTAGTATAATATAGTACACTATAATATAGTATACTAGAATGTAACATAACATAAGCAATACATTATACTATACTATGACATATCATGCAGTATACGATAATATATTATAGTATAGTATAGCATAGTATCGTATAGTGTAGTATAGTAGAGTAGAGTAGAGTGTAGCATAGTATAGTACAGTATAGTGTAGTATAGTATAGTATAGTATATTCTGTTATAGTATATTATATCATATTATAATATAACGTTGAGTCTGAGTTTGGTCAAACCTAGGTAGGGATTAAACCCCGCAGAACTCGTTATGGCGTCGTTGTAACGACGTTAAACCAGGGCCGCGTTACAACCCCGTCTCCCGTTGTAACCGATTTTCTACTTAGGGTCAAACAATTTCGGCGCGTGTTATGCGAATTACATTTGCAAACGCAGCAAACCGAACACATCTGCAGAGGTGGATGCAATCGCTACCACAACACAGACTGTGGTGCAATGTGCATTGCAGAACAAGTCAAATGCAAGTTCTTTGATGTTAAGTTAAAGCCCAGTTAAGTATGCCTGCCCTTGGGTTGCACGCGCGTTAGCCGAAGAGGGATAAACCTGGACGTGTCTGCCCTTGGGTTGCACACGCGCCAGCTGAAGAAGGTTCAACCTGGACGACAGCTACGCAAGCGTGCGCTGTGGGTGAGGCTGTGCTTTTGAATATGTTTTCCCGCCTCCCTTTTCCGGCGTCGGGCCATTTTGGCGCTCGACCGGTTTCCCTAGCAGACGACTTGCCCTTGATCCTATGCCTCTTGTCCGCGTCGCGAAGAGTGAACAAGTCCTGCACCAGAGGCGCTGGAAGGGAAGTCAGTCGCACAGGGAGGTAGGGAGCTAGGCATTCATGACGCAGCTGTCATGGGTGTACACTGCGCATACTCAGTATGCGATACGATGCGGCAAACTGTCAGTACACAGGCGTTCAGAACGCCAAAGCAGTGGGCGGAGAGCACTTCCTGCTGCCTGGCGCCATGGCAAGGGCTCGCATGAAAAGAGTTTGTTTGTTTTGTTGTGTTTACAGACATCAGTCAAACAGCGACAAACGTTCTGGGGACTGCCTGTGACAAGTTGTCCGAAACCGCCGCCGAACGACGGGGCGGCGCGAGGGCCAGTGGACCGACGACAAGGCGCACGGACACGGCGCTCGGAGTCCGTGGCACGCATTATCTAGGTGGGACGATAACATGTTGGACAACATATGTATATATACTCATATATATATATATATATATATGGTTTCATGTACCTACACCAAAGAAATATATCATTACACAATCTGCACAACGTGTATAAACATTCAAACATCATAAAACGTTTGGGGTCGTTCTCTTGCAGCTTTCTCGAACACAGTATTTCTGTATCTCGTGCCTCACCCAGGGCCCCTGGGTGCCGTTCACCGGCTCCCTAGGCCCCGAGGCGAGGACGCGGCGGCGAACGACACCCGCTGGAGTCGCATGGCCATGCCGCCTCAGGGCCTGGGGAGCCATTGTGTGCGCCCATGGGCCCTGGGCGGGCACCGGGTGCGGGCAAGGGGGCTCTCGGGCCGGATACCGGCGCGGGGAGCCTCTGCTCCGCGGACGTGGGGGTTCCTGCGCGTCCCCGCGTCGGGCCGGCGGCCCGGGTTGGTTCCGCCCCCGCATGCGCAGGAGTGCGTGTACATGCCTGTGTATACGCACGGTTGGCCTGAGCAGGTCATTAAACTGCTTCCTGCCGCTGGCGGATCCGTAAGTGCATGCCCATGTTTCTCGATTCGAGGGCCTCTGCCTGGGAAAACGCAGCGGCGGGCGGTCTGGCCAGCTGGGCATGGTTGGCGGCGAGGGGGAACCGCCTCAACAACACACCCGCGCAGGGATTCGTCATGGAGGGAAAAGCACATGTCTGTGTATACGCGCGGCCGGTTTGCTTCAAGATTTTGGCTCGAGAGGTCGCAGCCCGGCCGCTATCAGAGCCTCCGGCGCTGAGGCCGTGGCGCTGGCCTTGGCAGCCATGTTCAATGGATGCAGGCTGAGAAGCACGTTTACCCAGGCCGCCTTTGTCCAGAAGTGTCTGTGCTTTTTGACGGATGCCCGCCCGCCGCCGAAGTACCTGGATTGGTGGGAGATGTCGCGGAAGGAGCCATCCCCACTGCCCCCCGAATCAAATAAGTTCTGGCGCAGCATGTACCACGCCCCTCGCAGCAGCAAGATGATGGACGTAATCCGCACCCCGCTCTTCTCGCCGGGGTGGCTAGTAAACGTTCCTGTTCTCGCACTGCTGACGCATCTGCTCGTCCTGTTCCTCCTCGTCCTCATCATGCGCGTGGCATGGTCTCTGGACAATGGATTCCCCGAGGCGTCGCTGATGGAGGAATACAGAGACTGGCTGACCATGAGTGGCATTGCATCGCCTTGGGCAGCAGGCGTGCTCTGTGCGCTGCCATGCGTGGTCTGGGTCTACGCAGGCTTCCTGCACAAGGCGAGCGGGTGGGCTATTTTCGCCATGAGCACGCATGGCGGAGATGGCTGGGCGGAGCTGAGGCCTTCAGCTACCGCTTTCGGATTGGCATGGAGCCTTTTCGTCGGCTTCGGCCCCCTGTTCCCGTGGGTGCTGTGCCTGTTGTCGTCGTCCAGTCCCGCCAGAGGCCTCTGGAGGAGCCTGCCGCACCCCTGCCACGACACGCTCTGCATCGGTCTCGCAGGCCACGTGAAGCGGTGGTCGGGAGCTCGCAAGTGGGGGTTTAGTAAAAAGAGGGTTTAGCAATTCGGCTTGCTTCCAAATACGTGAATCGCTAAGCACCCTTTCACCACACCCCCATTTGCGAATCCCCGAGGTGGTGCTCCTCGTTCGTCGTCGCCTTCCTGGCGCTCGCCCTCCCGATTCATTGGCTGGGCTGGTGGCGATCCGAGTGCGTCTGGCCCACAGCTAAGATCTATACATATACACCAATTATTTAGAATACCGTACAACTGTTTCGAATTAGATGCTGTAAGTATTCGTTAGTTCTGGCGTATAAATTTCAGTCGTGTATATGACAGCCCAGGTCCGTGACGGAGACTGCCGAAGTGTCCTGGACGTCGGCCAGGACTTCGGCGCCACCCCTCCTACATCTCAGACTCTTGTTGACTTGTTCACTTCTTCCACGCATACGTTTTTTTGTGTGTTCCTTATTTTCTCATTTTTAGTTTTTCACAGGACTACATTTTTTCCCATCAATTTTAGGAATTTCGTTTCCTAACAGCACGCGCGACTATCAGCCAGGACCCTGGCGCACCTGGCGTCGGCGACTGTCCCCGTCCTCGCCGCCCTCCTGCCGCTGGCGCTCCGCGCGGAGAGCTTGGCGATGCTCTTCTGCATGTGCGCGTGGGTGGTAATCAGCAGCGGACTAATGGGGTCAACACTAATGGGTTCACTGCAAATGTCATGTTTTTGTGACAGGAGGTACATTTGGGCATTCCCCTCAAAATTATGTACCATTCCGTCAAAATCTATCAAAATCTGCCAAGTTTATGCAGCATTCATTACATGTTTGGCACTTTCTCCAAATCCGTCAAATTAGTTCTTTTGCAGTGACCCCATTAGCGTGGACCCAATTAGTCCGCAACCAAGGTAATCTGGTTCGGCTTCGTGCGGGTCGTCGGAAACTGCTCGCGGGGGTACCTGGCAGAGCAGCCGGCGAGGCGCAAAGCCATCGCTGCGTTCGGAGGAGCCCTCCTGATCTTCTTCGTGCTTCTTGGAGCCAGGCAAAGCCACGTCTTCCGGACGGCAGTCTTGAAGGTAGGGGGGAAGGCGAACAACCTGCAGCACAGCGGGTCGACGAGCGCCTTCGCGGCCAACGCCACTGCCGCCAACGCCAGCCTGGTCCAGGTGACCGACAGCGCCGTTGTCGCGGCCTGCAAGACGACAAACGTGCTCTGGTCGCGCAGCTTCGGCGCCTCTTTCAGGGAGTGGTGGGCGAAGTGGACGCCGGTCGCGGCATCTGCGGCGGTCGGCGCCGCGATCACCGCGCCTGCGTGCTTGGGCGCCATGTGGGTGGCGACGAAGCCCGGCTTCCGAGAGAAAGACTGGGCTCTCCTGCTCGACGGGGCCACATACGCGGGGATGGCGGTCTTCCTGGCGACGCTGGCGGGAACGCACGAAGTCCAAAGCCACATGCCCCTCCAGGCGCAGGGGTTCCTTGAGCTCATCGAACCCCTCGTCTCCTACAGCCAGCTGTTTCTGCTCGTGACCATCCCGCTCACCGTCGCGATGCAGGGCCTGCATTGGCGTTTCTACTGGCAGCGCGTTTGGCAAGGCACGACCAGTAACGAAGTCGACCTGCTCCACGAGGCAGAGAGCGCCGTTGCCATCAAAGCAGAACAATGGGATGACCTCGTGCGCAAGGTCTCCGGCACGAAGCAGAAGATGCTGCATGTGAAAGCTCCGCTGCAGGGTCTGGACTTCATGGAAAAGGTGGCGGCGTACCCTCAGACGTTGCGGATGTCGATCCAGTCGTCGAGTGGGCTCCTTGACGGGTTCAGCCACCTTGCCAGTGTCACTGACAACGACGAGGTCATGTCACTACCAATGGTCGACTGTATGGGGCCAGGACCGCTGAGTAAGATAGCAGTAGTGGCCATGTTCTCGCACATCTGCCGGGCGCTCCTCCTCCTGTGGATCTGGATGGCAGGCCGTACCCCCGGTCTTGGGGAGGACTACATCGAGTACCACACGTACCACCATCTGGGCGCGGATGTGCAGGACGCAAACACAATTCTGCTACGTAACATGACGCATTCCGCGGGTCGGCCAGCTGACCTGACCGCCACCGGTGTGATGCAGAGTTTGCTGCAGACATATGCTGCAGACGGAGGGAGGATCTTGGGGAGGTGGTGGGCATCTTTGTCGTGGCTGTACGTGCATGTCCTGCTCGTGAATGGCACCCTGGCCGTCCTCATGGGGGCCGTGTGTTGGCAGACGGGTCTCTTCAAGGCCTTGGACGCGCTCCTACATGCAGGGGTGCTCTTCGTGCAAGCAGACGCTCAGTGCCGCAAGATCATCATCTGTCGAGACGTGATCCATCTTTCGCTGGGTGCCGAGATCTCCACGCTCTTTACCCTGGTGCTGCCTGTCCTGCGTTACCTCAGGAACGCAAACTTCCTCCGCAATGATCTTCAGCTTGACATGCACAAGGGCATGCTCCACGTTCTTCTGAGCGGCTCACTCGGCTGCATGCTGCCGGGCTCCGCGCACGTGCTGGCCGTGTCGGGAGCCAACATCCAGGACTCGATGCAGTACGACTCGGTGCTGTGGGACAGGGCCATCATGTCATCGCTGCTGTCGGCGTCAGTGTCATGCTTTGCCCTGTTTGTCGCATGCCATGACAGGCGCATGGACATCATCGTCTTTGTTTTTCAACTCTTCGTCGTTCAACTCAAGGGCGCCGTGGACGCAAGAACGCTGCGGTTGATGCGCATCGGAGCGATCGTCGACGAGCTCTCTTGGTGGAAGAACCAGAAGGAAGTCAAGGCTAGCCTGGTCAAGGACTTTCACCAGGATGAGAAGCCAACGATTGAGTGGAAGATTGAGTGGAAACGGAGGTTGGGCGTGACGCAAGACGGTCCTCCACGCGCCTCCCGCAGCAAGACGAAGAGCAAGGTCCTCCACGCGCCCCTCGCCAACTCCCCGCGCCTCCCGCAGCAAGACGCAGAGCAAGCTGGCCCACGCCCCTGGTGGGACTGTTGCGAGTGTACGGGGGAGGAGCGGGAAGGCCACCCCGAGTGGGAGAGCTGCTGGCGCGTCGAAGCTCGGATGCATCGGTTGCTGAACGAGAAGCTGAACGAAAAGCTTGGACGCTTCGATGATTATCTGTGCTTCGACGTGATAGTCCATAAGAGGATCTGGTGCCTATGGACCTTGGAGGTCGTGTACAGGTTCTCGCTGTCCGGCGACGACAGCGGCGGCGAAAGGGAGTTCGTGGGCAAGCAAGTCTTCTCGGGCGAGTCCAGTGGCGACGCCCATCCATCCTCCGTGAGCTTGGTGCTGCCCGGAGAGGAGCGCCGTTGGGGACGGCCGTACTGGCGCGGGAATCTGCTTGCCGTCGCTCCTGATAATGAGCTCTTGTCCCAGGTCCGCTTGAAAGTGAAAAGGGAATCGAACGTGAAACTGGAGGTGTCCCAGGTCCGCTTGAACGTGCACGCCTGCACCATGCGCCCGGAGACGCCGACGCGGGGAGAGTGGTTCAAGCAGATGACCCCATCATGTCTGAAGACGGAGGCGTGCACCATGGAGGGGGATGCAGAATATCAGCTCATGGGCCAGAGGGAGAGGAAGGAGCCGGGATGGGACAAGATGTCGCCTCTGGAGCTGCACGCAAGACTGTGGCCGCACGTGCAGGAGAGCAACGAGAGTAGTTGCAGCGACGGGTCCGCGCTGGGTCAGGCCCCTGGGCCCGTGGACGTGACCATTGACACGAAGTTTGATCTTTCGGCCTGTCTCTATCAGTCGGACGGCGCCAACGCGAATCCGTGTTCTTCGGGCTCTTCGTCTCTGGTCACATCGGATCGCGAGGACTCTGCGGAGCGGCTACCGCCCACGGAGGGGCCTGAGCGCGGTGCCGGGCAGGAGCCTCTGCTTTCCCCGTGAGGCGAGGCGTGTGTATCATACGAGGGCCCAATCTATGCTCTACTTCCTCGACGTTGTCTTCAACTGGCTGTGCTCTTCTTCTCCATCGTGCCCCTCACCCATGGAATTGGAGTGCCAATGATTGACGTCCCCATCCGTGTACGTCCTGCCCGATGTCTTCGCTTGCTATCCTGCTCTTGTTCCTCGTCATTTATGGCTATCCTCTACTTCTTCCTGGTTGAGTTTGCCAGTGAGCGAGGCGAGCACAAAGCGAGGCCCAGGCCACTGGGACCTGCTAGGGAGGGGGGGAAATATGTATATATATATATATATATATATATATATATATATATATATATATATATGTACATATAACGGGGGACCGGGTCCGGGGGCCCGGGGCCGGCGCCCCGACCACAAATGTAGGTTCCGGGGGCCCCGGAGGCTCGTCGGGGCTTGCCGGAGGCCTCCCCGGTCAGACAAGACGGCCCAAGAAGCGCCCAAGACGGCCCAAGAAACTTCCAAGAGGCCTCCAAGAGGGCTCCAAGATGCTGAAAATGGCCTCCAGACGTCCAAGGACGCCCCCCAAACGCCCCAAGAAGCCTCCAACATGCGTCCCAAGAGGGCCCCTAGACGCAAAAATTGGCATATTTCCTTCGTAAAACGTACATGTTTCACAAAGTTGCCTTTTGGGCTTTCCGACGTTACAGGACGGCCCAAGAGGCGCCCAAGACCGCCCCAAGACGGCCCAAGAAGCTTCCAAGAGGGCCCCAGGACAGCCCAAGAGGGCCCCAAGACGGCCCAAGAGGCGCCCAAGATGGCCCAAGAGGGCCCCAAGACGGGCCCAAGAGGGGGCCCAGAGGGGGACCACGAACCGCAAGCTCGAGCCTTCCGCCCCAAGAGGCCGCCAGGAGGCCCCAAGGAGGCCCCTCAAGAGGCCCCAGGAGACCCCCAAGAGGCCCAAAGGAGGCCCCGAGAAGCCCCAAATCGGCCCCCATAATGCTTCGAACCTAATTCCAGGAGGCCCCCGACAGGTTCAGAGGCTCCCGAGAAGCTACGTCAAACTCCCAGCGAGCGGCCGGACGAGGCCCCCAAATAAATCCCAAGAGGGTTCCAGTATGTGTATCCTTCAGCGCTCTCTGGCCTTCTTCCCCCTGCCCCCTTCCCTGCGACTTTCGTTGACTCAAGCTCGCCTCCTCTCCATTTCCTCTCTCTGCCTCTCTCTCTGTTTTTTGTTTGTTTCTCTCTCTCTCTCTCTCCATCTCTCTCTCTCTCTCTCTCTCTCTCCTTCGCTCTCTGTCTGTCTGTCTCTCTCTCTCCCTCTCTTTCTCTCTCTCTTTCTTTCTCTCTCTTCCTTTCAGATTCCGTGTCCTTGCGACCTTCTGCAGTCCCCGACGTCGCCACGGCTGGATCCGCTCGAGCGTGTCTTGTGATGTGCGGCGGTGCGAAGCCCGTCACCCGTCTCACTGATCAAGGCACAGGTACGAAATGATGGGTCCATCATTTCTTGCCTTCCCATGTGCGTTTTCCCAATCGATTCCTGGGCCCGAGGTCGCAAAAATTACGACGTCGGAGGTCTGGGGAGGCGGGAAGCACGACCTGGATCTCCGACGTCTTGGAAAAATCACGACGGCGGTTTTTATCAATTTTCGGCCTCCGGGGCCCCTCGCAGGGTCCCTGGACCGTCAGAAAACGACTCAGGATGAAAAAAAACAACATCCCCAGGAAGTCGTCGAGAGGTCCAGGGGCCGCGCACAGAAAACATCACGACATCGGACGTCCAGAGAGGAGGTAGGAACACGAGGAGGAGGGAGCCCATGCCTCCTGGCGACGCAACACCAAATACAACAAAAGCTTTTTCGACGTTTTCGGCAGGGGCCGTTTCGTCGTGGTGGTGGTGCGGTTCGGGGCTTTCTTCGTTTCGTGGCCTTCCCCCGCCGCCGCAGCCGGAACGGATCGACGAATTTCTGCATTTGGAGCGCGGCAGGGGTCGACATTTCCATTTTGAACGAGTTCTGGCCACGAGTTTCCCTCGTCGTCGCTGCCGCCAGCCGCCAGGAGGGGGCCAACACGAGGAGGAGGTAGGAACACGAGGAGGAGGGAGCTTGGCCATCTTGGGCGCTCTGACCGCTCGCGGGGCGCCCCGTCCAGGTCCAGGGGAGGGGGTTAGGGCGAGGGGTAAACCCCTCCCCGAAGGGAAAGAAGGGGGTTGGCAGAGGAAACTCCTTAGACCACCTACGCCCTAAAGGGCTGGTGGGATTGTTTTTTTTTGTCTCCGTGGACGACCGCTCTGCTTGCCTCCGCCGGTCGTCTCTCCTCAGCGTAGTAGTGACACCGAAGAAAACCCCCAATCATTTTGTTGTGGACTATAGAGCTACAGGGCTATCGGACTATAAGGCTGGAGAGCCATAGGGCGATAGGGCTACAGGGCTATCGGGCTACAGGGCTGTAGGGCTGTAGGGCTATAGGGCTATAGGGCTAGGGCCATAGCGCGAAAGGGCTATGTGGGCTATTCGGCTATTGGGCTATAGGGTTGTTGGGCTGTAGAGCTATGGGGCTATAGGGCTATAGGGCTATAGGATTAGAGGGCTATAGAGCTAAAGGGCTAGATGGATATAGGGATATAGGGCTATTGGGCTACAGTCCTATAGGGCTATACGGCTATAGGGCAATAGGGCTACAGGGCTATAGGGCTATAGGGCTATAGGGCACCCCCAGGCACCCCGGCACCCAGGCACCGGGCACCCAGGCACCCAGGCACCGGGCACCCGGGCACCCGGGCACCCAGGCTCCCGGCCCGGCCGCATGGGGCCGGAATCCTGCCGAACCTCATCGAACCTTTTAATCCGCCAGGACCCCTACAGAGGCAAGCTCTGATTGGGTACTAACCCATGGCAACCGCCGCTACCTTCGTCGCCGCGATCGCCGCCGTCTTCATCGCCGCCGTCGTCGCCGTCCTCGGGTTCTGTTCGGGCACCCTCTGGCCATCTCGTGGGGCACGCTGGGGGACTATCAGAGGCATCCGTAAGTATCCTGTGGGGCTCCGCGACTTCCCCCAGAGACTCTAACTACAGAAACTCCCTTCGTATTCCGGCCAGAAGCATCCAGAAACGATGTACATTAACCCTGGCGGGGGGAATGATGGCGATGGTGATGTTCATGATGACGACGGTGACAATCCTAGCTAGAACCTAAGCGCGCGCGAAGCGCGCGCGTGGTTCTGGCATGTATGTATGTATGTATGTATGTATGTATGTATGGATGGATGGATGGATGGATGGATGGATGGATGGATGTATGTATGTATGTATGTATGTATGTATGTATGTATGTATGTATGTATGTATGTATGTGTGTGTGTATGTATGTATGTATGTATGCATGCATGCATGTATGTATGTATGTATGTATGCACGCACGCATGCATGCATGCATGTATGTATGTATGTATGTATGTATGAATGTATGTGTATATATATATATATATGTATGTGTATATATATATATACACATGACGGCGCACCGGGTCCGGGCGCCCGGGGCCGGCGCCGCTACCGCAAATGGGCTCCGGGGCCCTCGGGGAGCCCCGGGGCCACACAGAAAGCCGCCAGAAGGCGCCAAGGAGGCCCCAAGAGGCTCCAGAACAGACCCAGGACGCCCGAAGGTCGCTCCCAGACGCCCAACATGGCCTCCAAGGCGGCTTCAGAAGCCTCCAAGACACCCCAAGCGACCCCCAATAGGGCCCCAAACAGAGCCCCAAGGGGCCAAAATAGACACATTCCTTTTATAAAACGTATATTTTTAACATATTGCTTGGTTTCGCAGTCGGTCCGTGCTTGACGACCTCAGAAGCTCCCAAGACCGCCCCAATACGGCCCAGGACGCGCCCCAGAGGGCCCCAATACAGCCCCAGAAAGCTCCAGGACGGCCCACGAAGGGCCCAAGACGGCCCAAGAGAGTCCCCAAGACGGGCCCGAGAGGGCCCCAGAGGAGGAAAGCCACCATCGAATTCCAAGCTTTCGACCCCAAGTGGCTCCAGGAGGCGCCGAGAAGCCCCCAAGAAGCGCCCGGAAGGCTCCCAAAAGCACCCCAAGACGCTCCAAGAGGCACCCCAAGAGAGCTCCAAGAAGCAGAAATCGTCTCATTCCTGTGGGAAAACGTACATTTTTCGTATGTTCGCCTGTTGGGCTGTCATCGCGTCCAAGACGGCCCAAGGGGTTCCCAAGACGGCCTATATATATATACACACACACACACACACACACACACACACACACACACACATATAACGGCGCACGGGGTCCGGGGGCCCGGGGCCGCGACCACGACCACAAATGTGTGTGCCCAGTCTCTTGGGGCGTCCCTGAGGCCTTCAAAACGCCCGGGGAACGCGCCAAGAGAACCCGAAGACGCCCCAAGACAGACCCAAGACACCCAAAGGCCGCTCCAAGATGCCCAAGATGGCCCCCAAGACACCTCCAAAGGCCTCGCAGACGCTCTAAGAAACCCCCGAGAGGCCCCCCAGGACGTCCCCAAGAGGCAAAAATTGCCCCATTCCCTATGCAAAACGTACATTTTCAGCATATGTATTGTTTTCGCTGTCGTACCGTTCTTGATGACATCAGAGGTCCCCAAGACCGCCCCAAGACGGCCCAAGAGGCGCCCCCGAGGGCCCCAAGGCGGCCCAAAAGAGCCCCAGGACGGCCCAAGAGGCGCCCCAGACGGCCCAAACGGGGCCCCAAAAGCGCCCAAGAGAAGCCCAAGATTGGGAAATCCAATCGACAATTCGAGCTTTCCGCCAAAAGAGGCGCCCGGGAGGCCCCAAGAGGCCCCGAAGAAGCCCCAAGATGCCTCCAAGAGGCCACCCAGACGCCGCAAGAAGGCCCCACGAGGACCCCCGAGAGAGCCCTGAGAGCCGAACACTGTTTATTTTCCGTAGATGTTCGAAGGATTTTGGTCATCTCGCCTTCTCGGGTTCCCGACGCTCGAAAACAGCCCAAGAGGCCCCCAAGATCGACCCAAGGAAGCCGGATTGATTTTGTCTCAGGCTGGCAGCCACGTCTGCCGGCGTGCCCTGCACCACCCTCCGTTGCAGGTGTTCATCCCAGGTAAAGTCCTGGGTTCAGAATGCGCCGAGGTTCAGTTTCATTGCTGGCGTTCGCTCCACCTTGCGCGCACATCCTTGGGCAATCGACCAGATAAGTGCGCGCGAGGCGGTTGTGTCTCTGGCGCGAGACCGCAGAGGCGATCGTTTGATTCATTCCGCCTTGCGTGCACACCCGTGGGCAATCGACCAGATAATCTCCGTTTGCACCTTGCCTTAGTGACTATCAGGACCCGCCAGTTTGCCTCCTGCTGTTCCTCCTCGAGCCGACTGTCGGGGAGCGCGTTGGCCGCGCCACCAGGTTGTCAGCGCGCGCCCCGCGGGCTCGGGTGAGGAAGGCACTGTGGTGCACAGTACCGCGAGGGCCGATCCTAACGAGTCTCAGGCTGAAAAAAAAAGATCGACCCAAGGAAGCCCGCGAAGCTCCCAAGAGGACGCCAGGACTACCCAAGAGGGCCCCAAAACGGCCCAGGAGGCGCCCAGCACGCCCAGGAGGACCCCAAAACGGCCCCACGAGGGACTCCAGAACGGAAGCCCGAACCGACCATTCGAGCTTTCTGCCCCAAGAAGCCCCGAAGAAACCCGGAAGAGGTCCACAAGACGACACAAGAAGGCTCCAAGAGGACTCCCAACAGAGCCCCGAGAGCCCAAATTCGTTGATTTTCTATGTGTCTTTTGAAGGAC